ATCCAAGAACAATTACCAAGTATTGAAAGCTAGAGGCCAGCTACATTTGGTTCTTAAATAGTTCTCATTTTAACTCCTTACAATTTTCAAAAAGGAAGCATCAGTGTATTTCCAAAACCATTCAAATTCATTAGAAACATTTTTTTTTACAATTTTCTGCACACATTTTACACACATCAAAATAAACAAAGGAAAGTTTCATATGTAACTATGACTCCCCAAAACTCATTGCTACTCATTTATACATTTTTGCATGGTTAGCGAGAGTTACAGCCCTTAGTCAAGATTATCTGATGAGAAATTTCCTAGTCTTATGATATGTCCCTCAATTATATGAAGCATTTAGGATTAAATAATCCATAAGCAGTCAGAGATAGCTGATGTAATAGAATGTATATCATTTGAGAATGTTTTAAGAAAAGAAGAAACCTTTCAAAAGTAATTTTTGAATGCTGTAGCTCTGTCTGTCCATGTAAGCCAATGCTATTATTTTGACTAACTTGACTTTTAAGTGAACAACAAAGAAGTTACCCTTGTTGTCTGACAGCTGTTGTATTGACAATAAGCTTGATTGTCATTTAAGATTGTTCTATGACCTACAGACACAGCTTGAGTAAATAACTTAGTATGAACAATATTTAAAGGTATATGGAGCTAAGAAAACAAATTTTATTGTATAATTTCCTATAATGTTTTCCCTTCATATAGTCATTCAAATAGGAGTTTTATATAATTAAAAAGAAAATGACATGCAATATTGTCGTGAAAGACAAAGGCAGAAATAGCAAAGAAATAAGGGTTACCTTCGCATTTATTTGAAATATTTTATAATTTTTTTTCTCAGTGACATAGGAGTTCAAGAGAATGTATATCCTTACCCAGTAAATGCCTAAGTATCCAGGGGAGAAGTCAAAGTTCAACAAAATTTGCATTTACAAACCAGCTGCACTTAAGCATCAAGTATCTGGATCTACTAGCTTTCAGACTTAGAGCTGGATGTTACAACAAGTTGCACACAAAGACAACTCCCTTGCAGTTTGATTTGTTCCCTATGATGAATGACTTATTAACCTTGCTTCCTAATAAGTTGTGAACCCATTCAAAGAAAACTTCACTAATGTGGAAGAAATGAAAGGGTGACAAGAGCATTTTGGAAACAGTTTAAAATCTAAAGGGAAGGTATATTTTAACAATTTATGCATTTCGCTTTGCTGCAAGGTTAGCAGTAATAGTAATAAATTTGATCACTACTTATTGAAAAGTATTTTTTTCTCTTTAAAGACTGCTTGTCTTCTCTAGAGAAGAGGTAGTATAAATATCAATATATAGGGCAATTTCTATAGTGGATTTATATTGTTTTATTCTTAGCAAATACCAAAATAAAATTGTATAACTAAGAAAATATACTAGCATGCAAATTAAGGTTGCCTAGCAATATTCTTAACTGACATCCTGGGTCTCAACAACATTTTATGATATGTTCATTCAAAGAGTTGAAATTTGCAAACCAGCTACTGGCATGATTTTTGTCTCTCCCTCTCTTTCACTGCCCTAGCTTCTATTATGAATTTTAAGGCCCCCACACAACAGACAAGTTCAAGTATGCAGGTATGAAAAGAGGTTGACATTCCAAAAATACATTTTGCAAACAACAATAATAAATAAAGTAACTGACAAATTATTTCAAGGGAACAAATAATTTGCTCAGAATTGGTTTTATATTTAAAAAATTCATTTCCTTAAGGACTCAGTGCAATGAAGTATCATCACATAATTAAGACTCTCTTATTAGGAAAGACTATCAGTCTAAATTAATAATTTTAATTTTCTTTCCAATAGAACTGTAAAAAGATAAGAGAGAATCATTAGTCATTTATAAACATTTCTAAGTGTTCCCTTAAATATTGGAGTAAACAAGATCACATTGTTGAGTATAATATTGAAGTCATATTATAGCCTTGAGAATTAACATCAGTATTGACAAGTTGCATTCTTTTTTTTTTTTAACCAGGACTACATTTCCACATCGTCACATGAGTCTACATGGTTACATGGTCAATGACTGAAATGACGGAATATGTAATTCACATATTCTGAAATTACATACCGGTATACCAAAATCACAGAATATGTGGTTTATACTACAAGTTAAAACAGCCTCAAAACATTATAAGACTTCTTTCTCCTGCTTATCATTTTCTATTTTCAAATGAAATCGCTTAAAAACATGGTACTTGTAGAATATGCATTTTCCAAAGGTGCTTAATGTGCTTGGCAAAAATAAAACTTTTCATTTAGCATATATCTGTATTTTAGTATCATTTACACAATAAAGTCTAAGGCTTTAAAAAAAAAAAGGGGGAAATGCATCTCTTATTCATTGGGAGAAGAGAAATATTACAACAGGAGTGGGGGAAATATGCCATAGCAAAGTAAAATCTTAAATATATCCATCAAGAAAATATACATTATACCCTTTCCAAGATGGTTAGCTTTTGAGTAAGAATGCAAAGCAAAACACATATGGACACTTTTTATGGTAAGTGACATATTGGTTTGTGCAGATTTTGAATGGACCTCTCTCTGATCAGCATGGCATGGAAGACTTAGAAACACGGCTTTGAGAGGCCTTAAAAACAAGTGATTTTTAAAAGTTGAAAAAATATGAAAATCTTGCTGACTAGGAAATATATGTAAATACTGTTACAGCTACCTGCCATAAAATGTAAATATTGTAAAGTAGTTAAATGACCAGATTGCTAATGCTACTACAGAAAAAGCTGAACAGCTGTCTAGTCTAAATTCATACACCTTGGTGCACTCTTTGCAATTAAATACTGTAATGCGCACAAACAAGAAACCAGTAAAGCATCTAGAAAAAATATTTTGGCTAATGTTTTCTTTCTCATGCAAATATGTGCTGTACATGTAATAAGTATATTTTTGTTTACTGGAGAATGCTCTTCTGTGCTCTAACCAAGTATTCAGTAATGGCAGGTTATAGGTTTACTGAAGTGCATAATGGATACAGCTCTTTTAAATGTCTTAACTGAAAGTTCTGTGAGATTCACTGGTTGACAAAAGAACTTCATAAGCCAGTAACACATATTAACTTTTAGAGTTTACTGATCCCATACTTTTAGTTGTATCAAATATTTGAGATAAATTACACAATTTTAGGCATCCTCATCATCAGCTAAACATAACAGAGAATGCACAGTGTATATGAGGGGAGGGAATGGGGGAGGTCATAATGGGGTTTAATATATGTATAATTAATTAATCAAGAATAGGAAACTTATTTTCATGGCCAGGAAATTTATTTAACTGGTGCATGCTTTGAGAGCCTAAATATTGAAAGGGTTGGTGGAGGGAATAAGATAATAGAAAATGGATTATTGTTTCCAAAAAATAGGTTTTATGACATGTACTAGTACAAAAGAATTTTTTATGCATGGTCCAATTGGGGCTTTAGAAAAAAAATGCATGCATTGTAGACTTTTAGAAACAAGAGCCTTTTCCTAAAGACATTTATGTATTATATAAAATGGTCAATTTCAAGGATCATAGTGAATCTAAGTCTTCCTTAAAAATATAAGATAGAAGGTCACTAATTCCAAAATTATAGTCACTGGAATAACTGTGAAGACTCAATATGTGAAGAGGAGTGTTGATTAGAAATAAGACAGCTCAATCTCCAAATTCTTTATAATCCTTTGCAATAAAAATGCTATAAGTTTAGTGAACAAATATGTTCTGAATGAGTTTCTTTTCATTGCAAGCTTTTCCATTCATCACTGGTTTTCACATTTTTCAATTAATTGTTTTGTACAAATCCATCTTTCAATATCAAAATTGAATGTGTCTATATAAAACTAACATCCTTAGAATAATTATAAAGAATTTGGTGAAGGGCTAGAGCATTCAGATATTCAAAGACAGAGTAAGTGAGGCAATGAAAAATATTCAGTTGTGCCTAGTGGGAAATACTGAACCCGTGTTTGTGAAGTGGATGGAAAAATTCCCACCTGGAGGTGTTTAGCTTTGCACTCAGGAGGATCTGTACCCATCCTTACTCCCTGACTTCAGATCCAGGATGTATGTAGTTGTGCTCAGATTTATTATTAAAGGGGAAACATCCATTTTCCATCTCACATAACCTGCTATATCCCTTTTCTCTCTCACTGTGAAAGAAAATTTGAGATTCCAACCCCTCCGCCCCCAGCTTCAAATGAAATAACAGTAGTGACTAAACTAAAATCAAAACACTTTGAAACAACAGCTGTGCCAGGAAAGAAATAAAAAATATTAAAATATGAGAATATTGTATAATTTCTGTATTAATTGGAGATTCTTTTGGCACTATCAATACATTTGGTAAGTTTGAAAAGCCATTTTGGAAACATTAATGTATATTAAAATGTGTATACATTCTAACTTTAAGTGTAAATTTAGCTTCCAGCAAATAAATACCATCGCTGGTTTTGGCTTCTCTTAATATTTTGACATTCTCATTAATCAGGTATTTTTTTCAGATTTTTTTTTTTTTAATGGATCGCCACATGCTCAAGTAGACTTTCTAGTCAATTCACCCAAATTCCAACAGGAATTGGTTTATAAATTGGTTCCAACTGGAACTGGTCATTTGGAATTTCCAGCATGGGAAATTATTTTATATGTGCCTTGATAAGTATCCTAAATTACAAATTGATGTGTCTACTAGTGCGTCTAATGAAGAAAACAAAGGTACCATTATGTAAATGTTGCACTTAAAAATGTCTATATGATTGGGCATCTAATATCCATCTAGACTTAAGGGCATGATGTAACTTTTTTTTTTTGCCCCTTATTTAGCATCCAACGATAGCAGCCCATAAACACAGTAAATTCTGTGCTATCCTTGCCAAGTTAAGATGATTGGTTTATCCTAGCAGTGCTATGGCAAATTGTCAATAGATGAATTTTTTGTTTGTTTGTTTGTTTGTTTGCTTCTTGCAGACTCAAAGCCTATGTCGGGAGTCATGGCTATATCCCCCAGGTGATCCTCGGTTCCTATGGGGTTTGTAACTGTCCTGGTATGAGTCAGGGTAATCTTCTTCCACAAGAGGATAATGATCTCGGCTATGCTGGGAACTGGAAGACAAGCGATTCCTGCTCTTCCGAGCCCTTTCATTGTGATAGTTTTCATCAGAGGTCATTAGACTTCGCCTTTCAATGGGAGAGTTCTCTGTGGAGTGGTTGCTGTGCCTCACACGCTGACTCTAAAAATACCAGATAAGTTCATGATTAAATAATGTCAGCCACATTCACCTAGAATACATACATGTATATACAAACAGTAGGATCTATACAATAAGATCCCAGATATCTGACTTAATGAAGAATTTTGATGCACAAGTGGTCTGCTCAAAATATCTCATTTTATCTATTTGGGACATACCATGCATAGATGACAAAGTGTTGATAGTTTATGAATTTAATTATATAATGCTGCATGATTATGCTTCCTATTAAAATACAGAGTTGAAAGTTAACTGTTGAATGGAACTCAATATATTTAGGTAGGCTTCACAACTCCAATTCTGTTGTAAAAATGAGGATTATCTTACTATTGGGAAATAAAGTTCAGAGCAACATGATTAAGTGCTCATAAAAGAATCCATTTGTTTCTGTGTCCTACATGAAGGTAATCTTTCTGAAGGAGTATACAACAATTATGTAGCCAACTAATTGACAGATTTATAAATCTTGCTTCCTCAACTGAAATGTCATATAAAACTATCTTCAGATAAAAACTAAATTCCTCTGACATCCTTAATTGAAATTATCTATAGACATTTATTTAATGGCTCAGAAAATGTTATTCAACATTTTTCTTCAAATCATAGGAAAACACATATCATAGCTGTGAGTACCTGCTTAGGTGGGTCACCTCGGTTAAGAAACAGGATTGTGATAAAACCAAAGATCCAGATTCGTTTCCTCTAAAAGTCACTCACCTCCACACAGAAGAAAACTCACTCAACAGTCACAGCCTGTGCCTTTAATCTCAGCCAGGGGTTTAGCAATTAAATGCCATGGTTACTAGGAGAAGTAGGCCACCGGGTAAAGGGCACCGTATTAACTCAACTGAAACTGGGAGAACCACTCCAGGTGGATTTCTTAGAGATGAGAATCAGGAGTGTTGTCTTTATAGATAAAGTGCAACATTTCATTTCTATGCACATCACAGAAGCATATTGCTTCATGCATCCACTTCTCATTTCACAATGTACAATTTGGAGCCAACCCAAATTAGTCAGTGGAAATGCCACAGTCAGGTCAGCACACAGGCAGTGAAACAAGGCAGGAAATAGTCCTGGTGCATACATATATACTGTAACCAGAATATATGTATATTTTATAGTAATACATTTCCCATGTTCGTGTCTGGCCTCAAAAGCTATTCATTTGTATGGCAGCTTTTCTGCTTACAAAGATGCAATTTTGTAGCAAAGCAATACCGTTATAATAGCACTTCAGAGAGTGCCATTCATCTCAGAGTTGACGCTATACGATGAAGAATTATGACTGTCATTATAACCCATGATTACAGAACTAGTCACGATACAAGAGGGCTCAATTGACTACCTGTTCCTCAGTCAGCTGGAGCTTTGGCCACATTCCAGCAGCTGCTTGATAAATGGTAAATAATGATTGATGTAGAAAGGCAGGATTCACTTTGTATCTTTACCCTCTGGCTCCCACATCTAGCTCTGCATGCAGCACCAGAACATGGGGGAGACAGAGAATTTGTGCTCATCCCCAGCTTCCCTCAAGGACACTTGTCATAGCCACTGACCAAGGTGGGCCCCACACATGCCCAGGAAAGTCTTTGTTTCCAAACAGAGCAGATCTACTTGTATGCCCAATCTAACGACTGGGCAAGCCAGAGGACCTCACCGCCCATGGTGTAGGGCGTGTGAAGAGCAGTCAGAAGGCCCATCTGTCCCCAAATCTTTGACTTAGCTTACTACTGTACAATCCTTAAGAAGTGACATGGAGAAATAGTGCACAGCTGTATGGAGTAGGTGTTAAGTTTCTTGGCAGAGTCTGGGCATAGAGGGATTAAGTTACCTAAGTGAAGGCCATTATAAATGAACAGAGAGCAAAGTTCTAAAGAGAGGGCCACTTTCTGGGTCACTTTGTCTAGGATAGATCGTCCTATTTAATGAAGAGGGGATATGGTAATTGACTATCATGCCCTCACAAAGATGGCAATGCCTACAGCCAATAAGGAGGAAATATGCTAATTGACTGCCATGCTCTTAAAGATTGTGGCACTCACAGTGACAAGATGGAAGCACCCAGACCCCTCAACCCTGCTGGGGCACCTGCCTATGGTTCCCCCAGTTCTCTCAGCCCCACAGCCACCCAGGGCTGGCCTGAGATACAAGCAAACCTCAGATGTCGGCTGCCCAGCTGCCCAGAACCAACCCAAGATGCAGATAACCAGGGCCAGCCAAGGCTTGCACTGCCAGCAGTGGCAGCAGCAAAGGTATGATGGGGGCATTGTCTTCCCCTGATTGCAGGGTCGCCTCCCACCCCTGAGGGCTCCCGGACTGAGAGAGGGGGCAGGTTGGGCTGAGAGACCCCCCTCCAGTGCATGAATTTTCATTCACTGGACCTCTAGTGATTAAATGATAGTTGAGGTATATATATATATAATGCCCACTCATGGTTCCCTCTTCAGATGAAGGACAATCTCAGTCTCCATCTCAATCAAGTTCCCTATAGAATCTTAATCAAAGTTGGGTTATAAAAGCACGAGTGGAAAGTGACAATACCTGTAACCCAGAAATTGCTGTGGGATATGGTGAGAGTGCTGTGGAACCCAAATTCCTTCCAAGCAGCGGGGTCATAGGGGTACTACTGGTTGTGTGGGTAGCACGCCAGTATGCCTCCAGGTACTCTCCCAGGTGTTCACACGCATCCTCCAGCTGATTTTCATCCAATATAACATCAAACATTTCCTGAAAGAGGAATCCATTTCATTTATATTTCACGCTTTAGGCCATGAAACCTAAAATTCTACTCAATGCAAATCACAGCATTCTAAATATCCAGCGGCAAATATCAGATCTGAGGGGCGGTGCTGGCAGTTTCTAAAGTTAAAGTTGAGTGAAGAACTGCATAGGTAACCAGGTGCAAACTTGGACATTGACATAAAAATTTAGTCTTAATTACTTAGAAGAAAAAGATGAGGCAAGCCTAAAGGGGTTATAAGTAGAATATAGTGAAAAGATAACGTATTCCCATCTGTATCCATATCTTCCTATAGAGTTGAATTAAACTTAGTTCGGAATATGAAAGAAGCAATTAATGCTACTGAAAGAGGAGTTCTAAAAATGTTTTGTACAATGGCCATGTCATTGGAATAAATATTTCATCTCCCCAACTAACTACTAGTATGTTGAAGGGAATAACATTTACTTAGATAATTTTCAGAATGCTGATGAAAATGATGTTATCCATCTAATAATAAAACAATATGAAAAGAATATTTAGGATTAATACAAAAAAAATCACATTACAGGGATTCCTGCTAACAGAAGATCATTTTGTGAAATTGTTTTTAAAAAGACAAAAACAAGGAATATTTCATTGCGGGAGGGGAGGGGTGTCACACAAGAAGTATGTGGTGTCCACATTTCAGGCCGTAACAACTTCATCTAGCTTTTTAATCAAGAAGCATTCTTCTTCCCCAAGGAGCAGAGTGGCCCCTCTGTCACAGACATACCCAGGACACAGGTTCCCTGGAGGGACAGTCAGAAAACCATGGCAGAGAGAAAGGCCATTCCATAGGTAAGGGAAAGCATACCCCAGCCACCAACAACTTGATCTGCACCTTCTCTCTCCCACCACCTCCTCCACCACCCACTTGCTGTTATTAGCTCCTTCTGACAAAACAAGCACCTCTCAGAGAATGACTCAAACAGGGTGACTGCCATCAGCACTAATACTGCGGCTGGATTGCAGGTTACTGGCAACTGATGACTTTGAGTTTGTGGTGAGTCAACTGATGCACTCATTAGTGTGAGGGCTTCTTGAAGCAGGAGTCACCATGGAAACCATCTTTCCCCCAACACTTGCCATTTGAATGTTTTCATCATATTATTCTTTACTGAACATTTTGACCCTGAATAAGATGACTTCAATCCAAATCAACTGGTGTTTGAGATTTAGTCAGTTTAACTCACGTGGAAACCTTTTCCTCCAAGGATGTTGATTAGTAATTTCAGATGGTTTTCTGCATGTTTTGTTAAGTTTATCAAACATTTACTCAGCACTATTCTGTGCAAGGCATTGTGGGTATACAGTGGCAAAGAAAACAGATAATATCCTTATGCTCAAGAAACATACAGTCTGGTGGGAGAGACAAGTATTAAAGTCCTTGAGAGTCTATGCCACCCTGGGACTTTAAGTTGAACAATCAGGAGAATGAGTCAGTTAATGTTTGTAGCTGCAGCTTAAAGTTCTGGATTTGGAAGGAGGCCCAGAGAGGCGTGTGAAAGATGAGCTGATGAGGAAGGGGAAACTATGAGTAAGCCGAAGAATTCTATCTGTAAGAGTAAGAGGAATAAAACAGATAAAGAGAAACAAAGACACAATGGGAGAAAGAAACCATATGGCCCATGAGAGACTGGGAGAACAGCTAGTTGCTATAGTTGCATGAATGTATATCCCTTCAATGAAACCCCTTTTCCATGAAAGCAACGTAAGAGAGTTTCTGTCTCTTGCAATTAAAAGCTCCTCTCCCATTAATGTCAAGTTTCAACAGTTACTTTACAAATACACTCTGAGAAGTGTCCATGATGCTCTGATAGAAAGGTTGCATTTTACGATAGCACTGCAGTGGGACCTTGAGTAGGACAAAAACCTCTCTACCACAAAGAGCGCACACAGACTTACACTGAGACAGTGGGCATAGGAAGAAGGGGACAAAGGACCACTCCGCCAGCCACTCCAGACTAAAGGTGATAGCAAATTCTAGACTGTATGTTGTTTGGCGTCAGCTATTCATATACTTTTATTTATATCAACTGTATAATTCAAATACATAGGCCTCACTCGATAATGTGGGTTTCTCCCAATGTGTAGTCTGAGTAAGTCATTTTCTTGCTTCCATAAAGTCCCAAGTTAAAGAACCCTCAAGGCTCACCTGAACTTGACCCTGACTATCACAGCCAGGACTGCAGAGCCCAGAGAGGGCAAAGGGAGGTAAGTGGCACCGATTGCAGAATATTATTTGAATGAGGGTTATATCTGCTTGACTGTCCCACACGTTACATCGTCATGGCTGCATGCACAATTAGATATACACTTAATTACAAGTCACTTTCATACATAGACTTGATCTACATCAGCACATGGGTGCTTGTTTGAGACAATCATTTCTAGGAAACTATGCTAAAAAAAGACAGCCATCAGAGGGAAGATGAATTGAAACTGATTTCAGGTTTTCAAAAGCACAGAGGAAAGCAAATTTCAGCTTCTGTATGAAATACTGACATGTGACTTACTTTCAACAAAGAAGAATTTTACAGGCTATATATCTGTGACAATTTTTATTTTGAACTGTTTAGGAAAATGATTAAACCAATGTTAGAAAGTGAGAATAATAAAAATTTTTTTTTTTTAAATTATACATGAAATTCAGAGAGGCAGCCCAATGAATTATGCGAACCAGTTTTGCCTATTTTTTCATAAATGTAAAGGTTCAAATCTAGTTAGCCTCTTACTGTGCAGCAGTGAGGCCTCCAGCATGGGATACGGATTCAGAGAGCTGCCTAATCAGCAGAAAAGGTGTGAGTAATGTGACAGTCACCAGCCATGAATAGTTACCTACTTTGTGATGTCATGCCATCGGTGACTGCCCGAGATAAGGGTAATGCTGGGCTGTTTTCAAAGCACTACCACAGCAAACACCTTTGACATCCAATGACAGTGATACTGTCATAATTAAGCTAGTCCTATATAATAAAAGGCTAATATGCAAATCGACCAAATGGCAGAACAACTGGTCACGGTGATGTGCACTGACCACCAGGGGGCAGCCGCTCAATGCAGGAGCTGCCCCCTGGTGGTCAGTGCGCTCCCACATGGGGAGTGCAGCTCAGCCAGAAGCCCTGAACTGTGCACAGTGGCAGTGGTGGGAGCTTCTTCCACTTCTGCAGTAGTGCTAAGGATGTCTGACTGATGGCTTAGGCCCACTCCCTCCGTCAGTCAGACATCCCCTGAGGGGTCCCAGACTGCGAGAGGGCACAGGTCAGGCTGAAGGACCTCCTCCCAATCCCCCAGTGCACGACTTTTGTGCACCAGGCCTCTAGTTATTAATAATAGGGAAGGCCAAATATTACAGGCATGTCATTTGGGCAGCTTCGTCAGCTTTATTTACACTTTCCAGGGAGCCACTAATCTATTCCCCGCAGATCGCTGGGGAAAGGGACTGGACAAGGGGGAGATAGATGCATGCCCAGTAAAGTTGGTGGGATGAGCAAAGGTGCTTGCTGTCAGTCGCACCTGGGCATAGGGCATGGTCCCGAATAGGTGTGGCCACTGTAAGAGTGTGAAATTTGGGATATTTAATCCCCTAAACAAAGGACTTCTCTCTTCTGTTGGTCTTGTGTTCTCAGTTGACTCTGGCTTGTGGGGCTCTGGCATTCTCCCGTGTGGCCCACGGCCACATAGATGCCCACTCACAATGGACTAATGAATGTAACTAGCTCGATGCTGAACTGGACCCAACTGCAGCACCGAATGGAAACTCTGGATGGTGGCTTTGTTTTTAACCTTACTAAAACCCCAGCTACACTTCTTCCAGGACTGGAGTAAGGGAAATGGAACTTTGGAAGCACAAATTCCACAAATAAAACCCACCCATCCTCCGGTGGGAGTCTCAGAAAATTCTTTTCCCGAGATATCATTAGGACTCCACCCCCAGCACTCAGTGGGGAAAGGGATACATTACTTCCCCAACAACAATAGGGCATTTCCTTCAGCTGAAACGGACAGAAATAACGTGGCCACTGAAGTTCGTAAGTGAACAAAGGAGTCGAAACAAACCATTAAAAAATCAACCCTTTTCTGGATAAGCTCTTTCAGAAAAATTAAAAACTTAAGCTTTATAAGTAACAAGAGCGAAAAACATGCCTTTAGCTCATCCGGTGGTTCAGAGAACAAAAGTGATAGGAAAGAAGGAAAGGGAACGACTGAAAGCTGAATAAAGTGGAAATGAAGATCAGCAATGTCTTTTTATAAAAACTGTAAGTTCTTAATGACCTTTCCAGCTCTCTACTCATAGGGCACCACAAACCTTCCTAGGGAGGGCACCTAAAGTAGGGCAGCCAGCCATCTTATTTGCTCGGGACTGAGTGATCCTTGGGACTAGCAATGCCCAAAGCTGGAAAATCTGGGAAGAACTTCAGTGGTGCGTCATCCACATTTTTACAGAAGACAGAGCACTTTTTAGGTCCTACGTTGAGGACTGGAGCAGGTCCCACTTACTTCTTTCATATTCTTTTGGGAGGGAAGATATAGAGGGAGTGGGCAAGTCTTTCTCTAAAACTATGAAGCACATATATTTTCTAGCATAAAGAGGAGAATCTCATTAAGACTAACATGATTTCTAATATATTTTATCTAAGAAATTGCTACTGAGCATCTTAAATAAAAAGTTTATGAAACTTAGAAGTTATTTTTACAGTTGAATTGTAACTTAAAAAAAAAAAAAGTTGGTGCCTTGCTGAATATTATCTACTTAGGAGGTTAAATATATGCAAATTCTTGCATTATCTAAGCATTGCTTTACATTTATTATTGTACATATATAAAACCCCATGTGGGACAACTTTCCTATTTCTAAGTGGAGAAAGAAAGAATAGGGGTGAGAATACGTTTATTTCGTTGCTATTGAAATATAAAGATCCTGAAACTGAGGATCTAGAGGAAAATAAAAAGACTGCCAAATATC